CTTATGAAGCTTAGTTTGGCTGGATGTAAAATTCTGGGTTGAAAGTTCTTTTCTTTAAGGATGTTGAATATTGGCCCCTACTCTATTCTAACTTGTAGGGTTTCTGCTGAGAGATCTTCTGTGAGTCTGATAGGCTTCCCTTTATGGGAAACCTGACCTTTCTCTCTGGCTGCCCTCAGTATTTTCTCCTTCATTTCAACCCTGGTGAATCTGGTGATTATGTGCCTTGAAGTTGGTCTTCTTGAGGAATATCTTTGTGGTGTTCTCTGTATTTCCTGGAGTTGAATATTGTCTTGCCTTGCTAGGTTGGGAAAGTTTTCCTGAATAATATCCTGAAGCGTATTTTCCAGCTTGGATTGATTCTCTTCGTCACATTCAGGTACACCTATCAAGCGTAGATTAGGTCTTTTCACATAGTCCCATATTTCTTGGAGACTTTGCTCGTTCTTTTTTATCCTTTTTTCTCTAATCTTGTCTTCTCGTTTTATTTCATTAAGTTGGTCTTCAACTTCTGATATCTTTTCTTCTGCTTGATCGATTCGGCTGTTAAAACTTGGGCATAGTTCGCAAAGTTCTCGTGTTGTGTTTTTTAGCTCCATTAGTTCACTTATATTCCTCTCTAAATTGTGTATTCTTGTTAACATTTCGTCAAACCTTTTTTCAAAGTTCTTAGTTTCTTTGCATTGGGTTAGAACAAGTTCTTTTAATTCCCAGAAGTTTCTTATCATCCACCTTTTAAAGCCAGCTTCTGCTAATAGAACACAGTCTTTCTCCATCAGGCCTTGTTCCTTTGCTGATGAGGAACTGTGATCCCCTGTAGAGGGAGAGGCGTTCGGATTTGGGGTATTCTCGGCATTTTTAGGCTGTTTTCTTCCCTTCGTTATAGACTTATCCATCTGTGGTCTTTATAATTATTGTCTTTATAGTTGGGTTTCTGAGTAGACGTCCAGCTTGTTGATTACCAGCGCTAAAATCTGAGCAACCCACCGCGCCGGCCAAAACAGCGGCGTTATGATTGATGGTGTTTTTCTGACTCTGCACCGAGAACCGCCGCACCAAGGCAGCGGCAAAACCGCCTCGCCGGCCACAAGAGTCACGCTGGCGACCCGTGGGGCTCCTCCGCTGGGAATCTCCTGGTGCGTGAGCAACAAAAATTCATCTGAAAGTGTGGCGTCCTCTCGTTCTCTGCGCTTTCAGTGGGAGCTACAGTCCCGAGCTGCTAGTGATCAGCCAACTTGGATCTCTCTCGGCTACGTTTTAATCCATAACAGTTTCCACCCATTTTTTCTTGGTTATTTATTTGTTGAAGAAACTAGACTATTTATCCTATAGTTTTTTTGTTTGTTTTTGAGACAGAGTCTCCCTCTATTGCCAATGGTGCGATCTCGGCTTGCTGCAACCTCCACCTCCAGAGTTCAAGCCACTCTCCCGCCTCAGCCTCCCAAGTAGCTGGGATTACAGGCGCCCTCCACGCCTGGCTAATTTTTTGTGTTATTAGTAGAGACGGGGTTTCACCATGTTGGCCAGGCTGGTCTCAAACTCCTGACCTCAGGTGATCCACCCGCCTCAGCCTCCCAAAGTGTTGGGATTACAGGCGTGAGCCTCCATAGCCAGCCCCTATAGCATTTAATCAGGGTGGGTTTCTAAGGCTTTATGAAACGGCCCCAGGTCCTCGCCGTGCAGACAGAACCCAAGGCTGGGTGGACCCTGGGCAAAGCCTGGAGTCACAGCCTCTCCCTGCTGCTCTGTCCCACTTCCCAGGCAGGGAGCGAATCTGTTCTCTGATCCTCTTTTGTGTCCCGTGACCACATCCCCAGAATCCTCAGTCAGGGGCTCAAATACGTCAAGTTTCTGAGAGAATTGGACAAGGCAGTGACCAGAGGACGCCTCAACACAGCGTGAAATTGCCCAGTGCTCTGGGACCACGAGTGGGGACCCAGCCAGAACTGTGACCCGGCGCTGGCAGAGGCTGCCTGGTGCTGCCGAATCAGCCCTGGCCAGTTGTTCACTGACCCACTCTGGGACGTTGGCTGAGCCGTTTCCCCTCAGCTGTAAAATGGACAAGACGATCTTTCCTATTAGATATCCCTCAAAAACACAAAAGTGCTTTGATGAACCTGCCAGGCCCCCTCTTGGAGAGTCACGAAGAAAGGCTCTGAGAAGACCTGCAGTTAACAAAAAAAATGCTTTGACTTTCTTTAACCCAGCATTTTTCAAGCTAATTTGACCACAGAGATCTTTCTTGGTGCAACGCCTGTTAACCCGCCAAGCACGTGAGGAGATACAGGCAGACAGCTCTGAGAATCACCCTCCTTGGCTGCTCTCTGGTCTCGGGGTGCAGGGGGTGAGTCTCTATCCTACATCTGAGTTTGCAGCAGCCCGGGATGTGAGCCCAGCCCACAGAGCTAGTGTCAGAGAGGAGTTCTGTTTCTTCCCTTTCTGTCAACGGAGCTTCTCTCTCAAGTTTCTATTCTGCCTGGCTGGTGTCAGTCTTGGGGTTTTTCTGCCCTCCTTTGACCCTTGATGTTGGTTCTAGGATTTTATGTAGGTC